GAAAAAAGCGCAACCTCAAACTCCGGATTTGCGGCTTAAACGCTTGGTGATGGCTGAACGATCGAATCAATCACGCTCGAGCGGGACCTTTGTTCTCGTTAATTTGGATTTTTACGTCCAGAACCGATCCTTTTCGACAACCTATTCGTATATTTAAAGGTCATCCCCTGGCCCATCCACTTAAACGCAGGCATGCAGGAAATCCGATGTAGGAATTCGTTAAAAATTTGTCCCGCGGCAATTAAGTTTCCGGTTTAAACCGGCCAATTGGGGAGAGACGTATGCTGATGAATTTTTCCCGAAAACGGGACGAATGGGGGAAACAGCGCGTGTGATTCGTGTTTCCGGTGGAAAATTTTTACCTGCCACTCGACAACGGATCTTTGCGAGTGTATATAGGGAAAAAAAGAAGAAGAAAAAGAAGAAAGTGGCAAAAGTGGAAAAACTTTAATGGAGGAAAAAGATTTTCTCTTTTTTTTTCCCCTCCCCCCTTCTTCCGACGTAAGATTTTTTTCTCTCTCTCTCTCTCTCTCTTCTTTTCTCTCCGTGTATAATAGTGTATTCTCTCTCTTTTCCTTCCTTTTTTCCTCGTTCTATAATATGAAAGAGGAGGAATCTATGCAGCTACTTTCAAGGATTAAAATATATTTCTATGTCTATAAAAGTTGGGGAGATAATAAAATATCGTCTGGATTTTATACGCTTTATGCTTATCTCGTTGGAAAATTTTAAAAGAACAGCGCACTTGTACTTTTCTTACACAATTATTCCCGTTTTTATATTTTATTAAATTTTATCTATAGTCAATTTTTCAAAATTGTTAAAAAAAAAAAAAAAGAAGAAAAACTCGCAATTTCTTTTCGCTCGCCACGACCTTTCTCTCCTTTGATTAAAATTTTTTTCGCTGGACGATTGAGAAAATTGCGCGATCAAAGAGTTAATATTTCATAGAACAGCTTAACTTTAGATTTAAGAAGCTAATCTTCGGGGGATTCTTTGTACATTTTTTATGGAAGAACGTTTTAAAAGTTTTATGATTGTATAAATAGGGAAGAGGAGGGAAAGGAGAAACGACGTGTATTTGCAAATGCTTTCGACTTATACATACATATATATATATATATATATTGGTTAAGTGATTGGATAATACTGCATTGCTTCGTTTTGAGCTGCGAGGAAAAATGGCAATTCTATTGGGATTCGAGGGAAAGCAAGAACAAATCT